GTATTCTAAAGTAATGAAAATAACTGATAAATAAGTAAAAACTTACCTGGGCATAACCCCGGCACAGGTGCTGTAACAAAGATGCCGACGGCGTCTATGCTTAAGCCGGGGATTAGGTCGGTGATTAAAAGGAAAGAAAGGGATTCTTTCCAGGTAGCCTTAATAAAGGCAGGTAGAATTTGCTCCTTGCACTACACTTTCACAAAACACGTGTGCTCTGGTCGGCTGCCCGCTAGGAACTGATTGTTTGACTAAAGAAATTTGACCGAACTAGTTCGACCATTCTCTGAACACAGTCTTAATAACTTATTTTCCGTTTACTTTTCTTGACCCAAACATATTTACGTGTTCTGATCTATACTTTCTAGTTAGTAAAATTTTCATTTAAAAAGTATTTAAGAAAAAGTAGTAATCATTAGTTAAATCTTAGATCTATTTCTTGAGGGTAAATATTACCATTCGCCAGATTTCCTGTATGCCTGTATGCAACGCCACTGTAAAGAATACACGAGCGCAGCTGCAGCACATGCGTATTCGATTCGAATGCATGAATTTGTCACATTAAGACGTTAAGAGTTAAGGGTTTTATTATATTTATGTTGTATTATTATGGCCCAAATATTTAAAAAAGTGAAAGGTTTGTTATTGAGTTTTACATCATATTATAGGTTCTGTCACAAACCGTCAATCGCGATAATGCTGTTTCAAATATTTCGTTCTGTGCTACAAGTGTGAAGTGTACATACATACCTACATACTTTGAAATCCTGTATTCATTAATATTTCAGGTGTCTTTAATTTGATATAGTATTTGTTTTTTTAACGATTTATATGTTTGTTTGATAATAAGCTCTTCTCAAACTTACTACATTTGTCAATAATTTGTTTATGTAACGTGAAGTTTTGAAAATAACTATCAAAACTAACAGTATTAGGTTTATTTTTTCCAAATTTTGTAAGGACAGGGCAGATGTCTTAGTTATAATGTTTATAGAAACAACTATATTAACAATGAAATATTTGTTTAAATTTGCATTAATGTTTGCAGCTAAATATTCTTTAATACAATTCACTGATGATGATATATACCATATATGTTTTTCTAAATATTTGAAGAAAAGTAAACAGAATAAAATTCTTGCCAAGTGGATCGATGGAATTTTTTATCCTGCGAAATTTTTGGCTTCTTCAAATAATCAACAACTTTTAAGAGATATATTAAAGAGTTTGGAAACCAGTTTTCCTATAGTACAATTGCAAAGACTTAAAGGTATGTAATAACAAAGTTTGTATTTTGTTAGAAGTTTTGAGGTAGTCTTCATTTACTTGATGCCCTGTCGGTTAAATTTGCATTGCATATCAACTTGAGGGGGTGGGGGGGGGGAGATTCAGTAATGTTGTGGATTTATCTAGGTATATAAATTAGGTAGTAATGTGAAATATGTAAATTAATGTTAATTAATCATGAACTTTTATATAAATAAAAAAGCTGGGGATGGAACTATTGGTTCTCATGCTACATATTATGTTGTATAATGTGAGCTATTTACTAATAAATTTTAAATGCTGTACTGAGCATATTATTAATGATTTTCATTAAGATATACAAAACTGTTATAGAAAACATTTTTAATACCTAGATTAAGTATTTAAAATTCTTCAGTGTCCATACCTCTATTTAACAAATTTGGTGAAAAATTTTTTTTTGAGATACAATTGTTTGTGTTTTAGAAACGTTACTTATAGAGACAAAAAGAATTGAACTTGGAGATTTTTGCTGTGATAGCGACTCTGTCAGCAGTTGTGATGTAAATATTCCTCATGAAACTGATAATGAACATGAAAGTTCAAAGTTGTGTGGAACTAATTTATGTAACAATAACTCTAACAATTACCTTATAAATAAATATTATACAGTTTGTGCACATTGCAGTCTGCTTTACGATGATAGTGATAGTGATAACCACATATGCAATCAAAAATATGATAAAAATGGTAAGGATTCATTGTTTAATATAAGTGTTCATTACTTACATATGAATAACAGTATTTGTCTCATTCTTCTTAAATAAAATAACAAATTTACATACATTTTTTAAATAATTTCATGTTATTTATTATTTTATTTTATTTTATTTTTGAAGAATAATTATCTCCTTAATTAGTAAAATTTTCATACAATTTATTGTAGGTGTACAGTCTAATACGGAAGTAGATGTTTGTCGTACCTGGGGTGACCTACAGTTTTTTTCAGATATTAACAGTAATTCAGCAGAAGATTTTTATAATATACAAAGAAATTCAACAATTCAAGAAGGAATTATTCGAACGGGTCAAATAAAGATTTTATCAGATATACCAATTTGTAACAATTTGTATGAAGAAACGTTACATGCATCTCCCAATTCAGTAACTGATAAAGTAAACTTATGTATGTACTGTGGGATATTTGTGGTTAGTTTAAATGAACATATTATTTCATTTCATGGTGAAGAAAACATAATTGGTGAGTTAGTAAATGAATGATTTATAATCTTAAATTGTTTTATTTTTTTCATCGATATGTTTATTAAAAAGTTATTTATTTATTTATTTTTGAAGTAACATCATTATAATCTATTTTTAGTAGTTTAAAATACAGTGATATCTGCTAAACTCGATTTTGTTGGATTTTCAGCCTTTCAGTACTTTTCACAGTTTGTGCATGTAATATTAAAAAACTTATAGTTAAAGTTTAAATTTCTGTTCAGCAACTATGATCTACCATTACATTTTGCATAGTGCCAGATTCAGATTTTTATAGAAATTTTTTTAAAAATGTTCTTAATTCGTTGTTTAGAATGAAATTTTTTTCCTTTCTTCTCCTTGCTCATATAAAAAAGAAGCATTTATATAAATGGTTATTACTACCTAATTTCAGATCAGAAAGATGTGAGCGAACATAAAAACTATCCAACAAAACAACATTTTTGTAAATATTGCAAAACTTTGCAAACAAAATTGGGAAGGCATTTAGAACGAAAACATTCAAATGAAGATGATGTACAACAAGCGTTGAAATGGCAAAAAGGTAATATTATTAGCATGTGTCCTTAATTGGGAACTATATTTTTAAAATAAATAAAAATAGCAGTTGCTAAAATATAAAATGCTAATTAATTTGCTCATTAAGTTTGTTATTTTAAATAATAATTCTGTCGGTTGAATTTGTTAAATTGTGTAGATGTCCAAGACTGAAAATTTTGAAGTTTTTTATGATTACATTTCATATTAGATTATTAATTATTAGAAATAAATGCATATTTACAAGCCTTAAATAAGAAAAATGTACTACCCTTTTTTTGCTATAGCAGAGAAAAAAGAACGATTATATTGGAAACGTTTTTATTTTAACAGATACAGACTTGTTGATTGAAATGATTAAAAATGTGTTCAAGTTAGTGAAATCTTCATAGGGAGTCGGAACTAATATTTACTAGAACTTTCTATTTTTAATATGATGTATGCGATTAATAACATTTTAATTTGCAGGCTCTACAGAAAGAAAATTGCTTTTATTGGGTATACAAAAAAAGGGCGATTTTCTTTATAATACCTCTTACACTGAACGACCACATAATATAAATGTTAGAAGATCTAAGGTGACTGTGACTACTGTTCCTTGTCCATTCTGCAAAGGTTTTTATTCAAGAGATAATCTTCGCAACCACATAAGGCTGCATTGCAAATTTAAATCAAAACAATATTTGGTAGAAGCAGAATTAGATGCAGAAAGAAGAAATGTTCAAGTTCTTAGCAGATCGTGCTTGTCTGATATACATGAAAAAGCATGTAAAACTTTAAGAGAGATAATTTTCCCAATATTAAAAAATGATGAAGTTACTAAAACAATTGCTCATGATGAGCTTATAATAATATACGGCAATTTGTTAGTAATGAAATACAGTACTAGTCAACATCATTTTAAAATGATTCGGAACAAATTGCGACATATTTCTCGAATTCTCCTTGAAATGCGAAAAATGAATCCAAATATCTCTGATGCGGCATCTATATTTGATCCTGTAAACTTTGAGTTTTATCCAATCTGTTTATAATTTAGCAGGACTTCATGATGGTAAATTTTCTGCACCTAGTTTTGGTCCTACTTCTGTAACATTAATATCGCAAGTAGGCAATGTACTACAGACTGAAGCTATTAAAAAAAAGGATAAGATTATCGAAAATAATGCAAAACAATTTTTGAAACTATTAACTACAACGGCAAATTCATTGATTAACAAAATAGCTATAGAGAACCGAACACAACATCAGCGTTCCAAAGTGGTGACATTACCAAAAACTGAAGATGTAAAAAAATTATTCGAATGTCTGGAGTCTGATCTTCAAATGTGCATAGAAGGGTTAAAATTTCAATTTAAATTGGATTTATGGGTAAAATGAAATAAAGTTAACTTGATAAAAATGATGGCATTTAATAGAAAAAGGCCTGGTGATGTTGAAAAGTCACAAATTGTGGAATATAAAAATTTGCAGATGGTCGATGACGAAATACTGAAGAAATTAGATGATTCTCAAAAAAATATGTTGTTTCCTTTGGACGTTACATATCTAGGGGTAAATTAGATTCACCTGCTTCTATTCTTGTGTCTCGGTTAGATATGTTAGCGATTGAGCAAATTCTACGATACAGAAAAGAAGCCAATGTAGATACAAATAACCCATATGTATTTGGTACACCAATAGGATCATCTGAGGCCTTTTATAGAGTTGGAAAGGCTCTTGTTGATTTTTGTGAGTCAAACAACTTACAAAACAAAAACTTGACAGCAACAAAACTAAGAAAGCATTTAGCCACTGTAACTTCAACCTACGAAAGGGAAAAACAAGTTGTAATAAGTGATTTTATGGGTCACTCCTTAAATATTCATGACAAAATATATAGTCAAAAACCAGTGTTACATGACGTAGTACAGATGGGAAAGTTTCTTGTTAGTGCTATGGGTATGGATGATGAAAATGTTAATGTAAATAATTTGCCTGAAGTACACAGTACATCTGTCCAATCTGAGGAGTACGATGGAGAGAATTTTCATACAACTAGAAGCTTAGAGGCAAAAGAAAAATCAACTCCAGTATTGAAAACTACATCAATATCCAGTGAAAGTAGTAACGATGACTTTAATTTTCCACAAAATGATACAAACATACATGATTTGTCTACAATTCTTGAAATAAGTCATGAGAATGTAAACGACAAAGAAGAGATGGAACAAAAAGAAGACCCAATTTTGCAAGGCAATTGAAAAAAAAAAGAGCTACCTGGACGACACCAGAATGACAGAATGCAAGAAAAATATTTAGGAATTACCTAACTTTAAGAAGTAATGATATCCCATCTCTGGAAACTTGTCAAGAATTTATTCACAACGAGGTCAGCTTGCAAAACAGAACTCCGCTTCAACTGAGAACGTGGGTAATCAATGAAAAGAAAAGAATCGAACAAAGTAAGTAAAATCATTGTACAAGGATGTCTCAATATTACAGAACTCTCATGTCTCATGGAACTACATATTCTTGGTGGACGATTTAACTAAACTTACCTCTATCTAAAGATGCTTTGTTTAGCTGTTAGAAGATACAACATTTTGCAAATTTTTTCCAATAACCAAAATGCATCATAAAAAGGCATCTGTTACAGGTATTAAACACATCAAATTCATTTCGTTCTGATAAAGCATTTTTGACTATTTAGAAAAAACTACATCTTTTTGCCAATTTTGGTGCCCTGTAACAGCTAAACAAAGCAACTTTTATTAGAGATAAATTTGGTTATATCACTTTCTTGATGAGCGTAGTATCTGTACACTTGTTTTAAGAGTTCCTATAGGCATCAAATTCATGGGAAATATGTTTTTGAGGAATAATCATGTAAATATAAACAGTATTATATAAAAGATTTCAAACATATAATGAAATTCATAATGTAAATTACAATGAGAAGCTTACTCTAATGAATAATTAATACTGCCTTATTAATACTGTTGATTGAGTGAGGCATAGGCGGGATTTCGCCCAAATCATTGAGGGGGCAAACATCTCTCAAAAAATTGAGAAATTGCGAATTCAGTTAAACTCCAGATAGGCGGTGGAAAGCGAGTTCAATACTCGTAAAACAAGGTGCAGCAATTTTGCAACTTAAAATTTTTTTTATAGTTTTTTTTTAACTCCAGACAGGCGGGTGTAAGCGAGTTCATTAGGGAATTGACATAAAATTTAATAGTAGCCAGTATGAATAGAGCATATTTAACTATTTCTTCTGTGGTTTTACAAGTATTGAACTCGCTTTCCCCCGCCTATTGGGGGTTTATCTCATCTGTCTGTGGTTTTACGAGTATTGAACTCGCTTTCTCCTGCCTATTGGGGGTGCATTTCATCTGGTTTTATGAGTATTGAACTCGCTTTCCCCCGCCTATCTGCGGTTTAACTATGATCTGTTACCATACGATTTGAAATTGCACTCCCTTGAAGTTTAACTCTGAGTTTAATTTTTTTAGCTCAATTGCAATAATATTGAGGGGGTAACTGTCCTCCCTTGCCCCCCCTCAATCCCGTCTATGGAGTGAGGAATACTATTTCCTCACTCAACATTAATACTTATGTTCGAAATGATTTATGAAAAGTAGATAAATACAGAAGAGTATTTGATATTTTAATTGCCAGTAACACAAAATATAACATTTAAATTTAAAAAAGTACAATTTTATAACGTTTTATAATAAAATGATTTAGATATTTTTCCATGGAGTACTTGTATGACTTACACGAAATGTGATTTTTTATAAATTTTTTGAAAAATGTTTTGAGTAACTTTTAAAACGGGTGATAAGAGCAACACATTTTCTTAACAAATGTTGTTCAGAAGATTGTTATTTTTTTAAAGTGAATTAGTGCAAAACGGTCTTTATTTAATCTCGTTTATGACTGAGTCAATCTTTTCATTTTTCTTCTTTTCCCCTGTGATAAGGCTGACATGTAAAATTTGGCACACACTATACAAATAAATATTCTGTTTTATTTTCAGAATCCAGTGGTACATCTTACGGATGGAATACCCCAGCAAAACAACTTTGCAGAGACCTATTTAAAGATTATTATAACACGGGATATTATCCTAATAAGAAAGAAATGCAGGATGCCATATGTAGATATCCTGAGTTAAGGCATACGACTGTCCCTAAACTCAGGAGTCACTTACAACATGATTACGAATATATTAAAATGCGAAAGGTTGAGTAGTTCTATGTACAGGCTGTTACAAATTCGCTTCGCACTACAGGGATCTCGGAAACGGTAAGAGATACGAAGTAGCAAAGTTGCATAATCAGGGGACCAATATTATGCTTTTAAAAAATCAAGGCTAACATGATTAGTTTTTGAAATATTTGAAAAAAAAAATAAATTTTGGTAATCCGTTTTTGTTTAATTTCAGCCTTGTTTGAGGTGATATTGAAAAAAGAATAGCATTTCCACAGCAACTTTTTGCACTCTATCGAATGGCATAATCAATTTTTATGTGTAACGTTTCGTCTTACCAGGACCATCATCAACTTCATTTTTTTAAATACGACCCTGGAAGTTTTATTACATTTTTTGCAAACCTTCATGACCCCCAATATTGTACTGCCTCAGCCCGAACCAGATTCAGACGTTTTGTGTAGAAAAATTCATTTTCAATGTATTTGTTCCAAATTTATCTAATTTTTTTATTTAGATTTCTATGTTTATTGAATACACTACGAGTACACTCTAAGTGTCATTAGACCCTGTGAAATCCACCTAGTTATTTAAACTATTACCATCACCCGTTACAATAAAATATCCCATGCCCATATTTATTTCTAGGTTTCTCGAGTACTCAAAATTCAAACAAATTCCTATCTAATTTTTTTCACAGGGCTTTTCACAGTGAATTTCACAGGGTCTAACGATACTTAGAGTGTCCGATAATTCGATAAACAGAAATCTAAATAAAAAAATTTGATCAATTTGGAACGAATACACTGACGATGAATTTTTCAAGACACATCGTCTGAATCTGGTTCGGGCTGAGACAGTACAGTATTGGGAGTCATGAAGGCTTGCAAAAAATGTAATAAATTTTTCAGGATACTATTTAAAAAAATGAAGTTGATGATGGTCCTCTAGAGACAAAACATTACATATAAAAATTGATTATGCCATTCGATAGAGGGCAAAAAGTTGCCATGAGAAAGTGTTCTTCTTTTTTCAACATCACCTCAAACAAGGCTGAAATGAAACAAACATGGATTTTCAAAATATCGTTTTTTTTTCAAACATTTCAAAAACTAATCATGTTAGTCTTGATTTTTTAGAGGCATAATAATGTTGGTCCCCTAATTATGCAACTTTGCCTCCATTTAGGCTACTTCGTATCTCTTACCGTTTCTGAGATCCCTGTAGTGAGAAGCAAATTTGTAACAGCCTGTACCTATATATATGTACTATAAATAATGTTGATATAATATAAAGTTCAGTTCAAAGAGTTTTATTTCACCATGTACAAGTATAACCAATATAGTACCCAACACCCAAAGGATTTTAGGTCTAATCCTATCACGAGTAGTGTGGACATTCCAAGGATGGTTAAGACTACATCTCTACATTATCATTAATATTACTGGGGGTTCTCTAGGACCACGAAAACAAAATAATACTATTACATATAAATGAGTACCACATTTGATCTTAAACTTGGAAATCCTACAGGATATCTTGTAGGTTATAAAAAAAAACAACGGTATGTAAATGTTTATTAATTTTACTCCAAATCTATAAACCGATGGATAAAGAAAACTTAATTTAACTCTTGTAGTTGCGTTTTCTAAACGAATTTAAATTACGCGGTAAAACTTCTGTAGTAGAACTGTCATTTTTTTTGTAGTGTTTATGGCCCAAATGATTTGGGACCGAGAGGGACTATCCCTCTTTCTCCTGCCTCATCGCTGTAAACCTGGATAGCCTCTTGAAGGTAGACGCCACCCGTCATCAACCCCGACTACCAATGTAGGCAGTTTGTGGGACTTCCTCTTGTCCTGGCGCATGTGGCGGTATCACTCGCGCCCTGGTGGTGGATTTTTGGGAGTAGCGTTATAACTAAGGATGCACAGTCATCGCGCGATTTTATCCTAGGTCACGTGTATATAGTGACAGGGCAAATTGCCGCTTTTGCGGTTCATGTTGGAGTAGCTCAGTAGCTACTAAACTACAAGGCACAAAAAGTCAGCTTTGGCTCCATCCATAATATTCTTTTAACCAATTTTAACTTAGAGTAACTAAGATACTTTATCTTACAAAAGTATTTGTTCTTTTTACGTTTATAAGTTTGCTTAAAACTGAGAATATCTAAGAATTAGAAAACCCCCTTACCCCAACTAAGCTAGCTTTTTAAAATGCTTACTAATCTGAAGCCATGAATCTATAAATGTATTCTTTTTAGAGTCTTCTTTACTTCATTTCGTCTTAGCTAACTTAGTCTCAGAAATAAGAAAATTAAGTAATTACAACTAATATACCACAAAATATATAATAGAAGAAAACGGAGCACCTAAGAAAAAGAAACAGAACCGTAGCGAAACTACCGGCCGTCAGGGTGAACTAAAAAGTCCTTCGATGGCAGGCCGGCCTTGATGATAAATAACGGGGTTATTTCGCTTTAATTATACAGGGTGGCTTGTAATAAAGGATTGCAAGTAATATTTCTGTGACAAATAACCGAAATAATTTTTAAAGTAAAAATATTGATATTAAATATGAGTTCATAAATTCAGTTATAATACCAACAAAACATTTGAAAAATGCTGATATTAACAATGAATTTAATAAATTCATATTCACAATTTTGTTTACTTTAAATTACATCAATTATTGGCGTCAGAAATACTACCTGCTGAGATAGGTAAAATTACTAGCTATTATTGAAAATGTAACGATTTTTAATGAAAAGTTATAGAAAAAATAGGTACACATAAATTATATGAACACGGGGAGAGTTCATAATCAAACAAAATTGTTAGAATACACATGAATTACATAGTACATTAACCTCTTGAACGCTTTGATCAGTTACGAGAAGTGCACTCTTCGCTGGCGTGATCCTTTTTTGCGCTAGCGTATTCATCATATTCAGTTTACACTAGAATTGTGGTCGTCACAAACAGTATACTGCATTTAAATTCTAAGAAAATAAAAACAAAACAAATATGATATTAAAATTGTTGCAAATACATATAATTCTTACAATCGGTATATAGAGAAGGAATTCGGATTCTCGTGTCACCGGTAAACGGAAAAATGGGACATGCAATACCTGAATATGTCCACATAACTTCAAGCGGTTCTCACTCTAGTTCAGTTAATATATTTGTTAAATGGTTATAAATATGTATGTAAAACTCGTGAAACATATGAGATACAATAATATTCCCGTTCAAAGATCTACACCGTTATGAACAAGTAAAACAACTTATACCACACTAGTCGCTATCGATCTTCGTAGATAATAGATATGCACAAGCAAACTTTTCCATCATAAGCAAAGACAAATTATTTAGCAGCGTATATATATCCGTCATAATCACTATTTATTTATTGACTGCTCATGCCAATTATATACATCATAAGCATTCAAGAGATTAAACAACATGCCTTATAACAAATTCGAGGAAATCTTTGAAAAAAACAATGTGAAACCAAGAATTTTTTCAATTTCCGAGAATTTATTATACACTTAGAACACATATCTTATATTTATTATTTTTTTGCACGATTGAAAAATGTTTTCATGAAAATGTATTTAAAAATTGCAAAACAATTTAAACGTTAACAATTAACTACGATTTTTTCTGCACGTGTATAGTTAACATTACAAATTATTACATGGTAAATTCTACTTATACGGCCTGTCAAGCATCTGACAGTAATAAAATAATTTTAATCGTGTGAAAACATTTTTAATTATTACATTTTTCTATACCGACATCTTTCTCAAGATGAATTTCAAAACTAATTTAGATTTTATCTCACTGAATTAAAATTTATGAAGTAAGAGAATTAAAGCTAAGCTTTAATTTTTTGTCAAAATTAGAAAAAATCACATTTGATATTACATACTTTACGATATATGATTTTATGCAACTCGTGTGATATTCCGGGATCTCACTTCACTTGTCCCACAAATTCACCCCTTAAACAAAGTCACAATCCCTAAGTGCTTACATAGTTATAATTCAAATGTAGACAGTTAATAAATGCTTAGATTTATGGTGTGGATGAACCCCAGCAATGATTGCCCGGTGATGGATATTTAACATTTGGCATTAAAAAAACGCTTTAATTAAATTCATTGTAATATATTCTGGTAACGATCACTAGCTGTCATTGTCGATGTTCGTCAACACCTTAAAAACCAAGCCTTAAATTAAGATATGCCTCCCTTGTAATTTTGTGTGTACAGCTATTTTCTTATAAATATATAACATTTTAACATATACAATTTTTACTTAAAAACAAACATTATATGTGAAAATATAATACAGCCACAGAAAATAATTTTATTCTCTATAATTTTACTCATGAATTATAGATATATTGAGATTGTAATTTTATAGTGATAATCATATTTTTAAAGATACAATACAACTTGGATACCAAACGTTATCGCCAACCACTTTCTACTCTCGTATTCCATTTTGAAATATTTTATTTCCTAACCATTATTAATTTTCTCTTAATGTTCTCCAAAGCCTTCACTGAAAAAAAGTTAAAAACAAATTATCAGTAGTTATACAGAAATAAGGTCATATTATACAAAGTTGAACAATATTTACTTTTTATTTTTTTAGTTACTTTACGCTAACAATTTCAGGGTGATAAAAAAATGGAAGAAATATATTAGAGAGATATAACACTATCGAGTTTATATACTTAATATATATATGATTTAGTTAAAAATATTAATACGTACAAGACAAATATGGATTAAATAAGTTATAAAAATTTGTTTAAAACGTTTTCAAAATCTTCAATAGATATCGATTATCAATTAGAGTAGAGTGATTATAAAAGTATTAACTACTAATTAAACATAGATACGTACTAGGACATTTCTTTTTATGCATCATCCTATTTCGTCATAGAACTCCCCAAAAAGTCCATTACTATTTATGGACATCTCAAGAACTTCAACAAATTTCATTTGCTTAATATCCATTATATTTCATTTTAGTCACATGCAATATCTATGGTTGTATGTGACTAAAATGAAATATAATGGATATTAAGCAAATGAAATTTGTTGAAATACGTTTTTTCCCAATTTCAAATTGGAAGTTTTTCTTTTCAAATGCCAAGGATACTGCAAAAGAGAATTTTTTTACTGACCACAAATTTTATAGAATATTTTAAATTACTGAATAAGAAAAATATTTCGTCGCTGCCTTCAAAATATGGCGTGAACTTCATCAAATTGTTCAGTGGAGTTAAGAAACTGTGTCTTCACTTTTTTATTCAAGAATTACAATTATTTTTTATTTTACCGCAGACAGTCACAATTCTGTAAAAAATAAGATAGCTGTTTTTTAACAGATTATGCGTTTTGATGTTGTTTATCAAATGTGCAGAACTTAACGCGTTTTACTGAAAATATGTATGTCGCATTTTGAAGACGTAACGATGATATAAACTTACCAGACATTTGGTCTGGAACTTCGAGTATGAAGTCGATAGAGAATCTTGATTATTTCTGGCAGGCAGGAAAGAATTATTTATTGATATGTTTTTCTTCTCTGTTTAACTAAAATCGATACTATGCTCTACAACAGCTACCGTATCTTAAATATAACATATTTTGTGGTAATCGACAACATAGATGATATTGAAACACAGAGGTTTTATCATTCAGTGAACATGTTCTTTCTTGAATTTTTCAGTTTCCTGCTAATAATTCTTCATATTTTGCTTCTCTTAAATATTGCACTTGAAAACAGTATCTACAAAGATGCTTGCATTAGTAAATAATTACATATTACTTTGGAGTTTATTCCATCAGAAAAATATTGCAAATTATTGTAGAATATAAAACATAAACATATTTTTCTTTATCAAATATATTTAAGTGGATAATAAATTGTATGCATCAGATCAGTAATAATTATTAATACTCACCAAAATATTAACTATGTTAGCCTTCTCGTTAGGTCTTCCAACTTTATGGTATTCTTTCCAGCAATACTCTGTAAATATTTTTTAGAACAGCCGTGAATTGTGTCTCTTGCAAGTTCATATAGCATATGTAACAATAACTGTCTGTCTTAGAGAATTTTTGTCTAGATTACAACTCGAGTCCAACCTAAAAAAAAAAATGTCCATTACTTTATGTGTTCTTATGTTAATTATTATATAATGTATTTTGTAGTACGTAAATGCATGAAACTAACGGTGTTGGTTGCTTTGAATCTAATGTAAATTATTTAAAATTACAATTTTCTAAAAAAGTTTATTATCATTTAGAAACAATCGCTTTGGTGCTTGCCCGAGTGCTTGCCATATATAATAAATGATATAAAACTTACCTTATAATTTGCATTCTTGCCATCACAGTAAAACAAATTTAAGTCAGACGATAGAAACTAATCGCTGTACTACTCCTGGAAAACTACTCCAGCTATGTGATGATAAACAATTTGTCAGGAACTAATTACTGTCTAATGAATTGTCAAGAACCAAAGGTTGGAAGCGAGGCTGGACATTGCACTGCTTACATTCCAATTCTACTTCACACCCTTGGGTAGCCGTGATACAATACAGTGTACCATATTCCACTTCTTTTCTATTTTAATCTAATCGCTGATGAACGTGGTAATTATAAATATCTGTAAATAACTTTCTGTAAATTATTGTTAAAACGAAGATTTTAATTTCATTACTATCACATTTGTTAAACATACTTCCATTTAAGTTTTATTAAAATTATATTTTTGTATTCTCAAATGTTTGAACTAAATTAAAACAAATCACACTAAATGGATTGTCATTTCAATACCGTAATAGATTTTATTAACAAAAGATTAATATATTTTGTGTGAGAAGAA